GGAAAAAGACAAGACTTTCTACTCACATAAAGACGTGAGGAAACTACAGGGACAGTTCTACACTGTCATATAGGGTTGCTATGAGCCAGAATCTCCTCGATGGCATTGAGTTTTCTTCTTGTTGTGTGTGAGAGAAGGTCTTGAAGTTGTGATAGTACAAATCCCAAGAAAATGAATCTAGACAGACCTAGACAGACTGGAGAGATCAGTTGACATTTAAAGGGTAATACGAGATTGGAAGAACCTGCATAGTTTAGAATTGCTGAAGGTAGGGGATGATACTTCAAGGAGGAACCAAGCACCTTGAGAGAAGAGAACAAGCTTGTGGATTAGACTGAGAAGAAGTCATTAAGGACAAATAATGGCCACAGTATGTTGCACCTAGAAATGTATCTGCCTGAGAGGGGTGAGGAGGGAATGCGATGATGAAAAGTCAGGGTCAGTCCATCGGATGCACACCGAGAAGTCTAAAACTGTGAAAGGAGAAGGCAGTTGAGGATAGTGTGGTAACAATTTCTTTTAGAAGGATTAATACCAGAGTAGTTACAAGAAGGACCCCTCGTGGTGTAGTGGTTACACGTTGGGTTGTTAACCACCAGTTGCACCAAGGGAGAAAGATAAGGCTTTCTACTCCCATAAGGAGTTTTAGTCTTGGAAACCCACAGGAGCAATAGAAAGTCTCACCTGGTGGTTTCAAACTGCTGACCTTGCAGTTAGCAGACCAACTCTTTACTAAGGTGGGATCTTAAAGATGCCCTCAAGGAAATGAAGGGTGTGGCTTGGTTCATACCCTCTACCAATGCGCCCCCCGCACCCTACCAAGTGGGGTTCTAGCCACAAGCCTGTAAAATCCAGAATTATGATACATCACTTAGGAAGCAGTGGCCACAATGATTGACCATAACTCACTTAACAATAGGGAGAGATGAGGAGGGCAACCATCCTTCCCCATAGATTACTACAGCAATTGGGTTTCTGCAGTGACAATGTCTATAGACTTGGTAAGGGAAATACCAATCAACCTGCTAATTAAAGGGATTCCGAATTTAATAGGCATTAATTCCTAGGTATGTAGTTATTTTTCAAAGTTGTCATAAAAGGCCTAAATATTCTAGAGGTGACAAAGCATCAGGTTTGGAGTGGGAAGTGGAGGCATGAGGTTTGGTCTAGAGTGTGAGGGAAGTCTGGGACTGTTGGCCTATAGAAGTGCAGTGTACCATGGAGAAGGGGGCTTCAACAGTTTGTGCAGAAATGGAATGAAAAGATAATGAAAATTTCCACGAACTGTTGAGGCCTTCTCCTGTGTTAGTGAACTGTGCATGAGGTGGTGACATGTTTGAGCACATGAGTAGGGGAATTGACCTGTGTAGCATGGACACAGGTATAAAGGTGATGTGTCTGTGTGTGTATCCGTGTTTGTGTCCCCATCTCTGCTGTTGCTTCTGCTTCCTGAAGGATTTCTTCTAGGCTCTGTGTCTCAGGCGTTGGCATGCAAGAATGACCCTCCAACAGGGTGCAAAGGAGCTCCTTGCGGTTGGGGGTTTGTTAAAACTGCAAAGCAGTCTTCCATGGAGGAGGCAGGCAGCAGAAAACAAGCCACGCCTTTTGAGTCCTGTGCAGAGTGGATGGCCATGGACAGGGGTGGCTGAGTGCTTCCTGCAGCTTACCTTCTGCAAGCTCCATCCTTTTCTATGCTGCTCTCTCCAGGAGCTCTGGGTTGGAAGGCTGACTGACCCTGCGTGATTTTTCTCTCCTCTCTCTTCCTTTCTACAGTCAGTTCTGAATGTGATCAGTGAGCTGCAGGAGCAGATGTGTAGGCTGCAGCTGGACATCCACAGGCAGATGCAAGAGCGCCAGTTACTCAGTAGGGACCACCCTGAGGAGGTGGCGGCTGGTGACGGTGCGGCCCAGCCCCAGCCCTGCAGCCAGCACTGTGCCCGTTGGGAGGGGTCACCTGTAGGAACCACACTTAAGTATATCAGAGCATGCATGTGTGGGGCATTTCACTGGTGGAGGGGCCGGTGGGGGGTTAGCATGGTTCTGTTTTTGCCTCTGGGAATAACTTGGGACTCATTCTTCTCTGGAAACAAGTGAGCTTTGTGCCCCTCACTGAGCAGGGTGTGAGCAGATGAGACAGACCCTTGGACAGGTGGTAGTACTCATCTTTAGGACTGGGAACGAGGTATGTCAGACACCCTCAATTATGGGCATTTGTGCCAAAGAAAATCTCCAGATATGTGCCAAAAGGAAAAAAAAACAAAACACAAAAGTCAGGATTCTCAGGTACCTGATTCAGATATCAGTTCCTTCTTCTGGGCTGGGAGATTAAACAATGCTTCATCTCATATAATTCTTTTTCCTTGGTGGGGGGGGGGGGGAGTAGCATCATGAAAGAATTCTTTCAAGTTTATTTTTAAAGAGGTTTACTTCCCGTGAGAAACTAGAACACAGTTTGCCATGTGCTTTATCAATTAAATCATTTTCTGGACTTTATAGAAAAATATGCTTCCCCCCCCCACCCACATCTCTCAATCCCATTAGAGTGGCTTTCATGACCTCTAGCCCAGGTAGGCTCTATCTGAGTGGAATTCTGCAGGGACCTGCTTCTCTGGCATCATGATGCCTGGTGTGACAGCAGAACTAAGAGGATATAGAAGCCCATGACCAGTTAAACAATAACTTGAGTTTATGTGTTTGTTCAATACATAATGCATACCTACTGTGTGTGCCTGACTCTGCTGGAGAGTCAGTCGTTAGCAAAGTGAACTTGGAACTAGCAAAACTCCTCTTGGAGTTATAGTGTAGGAGGAGATCTAAAACAGCCAAACCCATTGCTACTAAGTCAATTCTGATTCATAGTGAACTCAAGGGACAGAATAGAAGTCTGTCCTTTCATTAAGGTTTCCAAGGCGATAAATCTCTATGGGAGCTGACAACCTCATTGTTCTCCCATAGAGCTGCCAGGTCTGAACCGCTGACCCTGTGGACAGCAGCCCAACACAGAACCAAGAGAATTAGTTGGTAGCTATCCTACAAGTAAATATTTTATTGTAGAGCGCCTGAGACACACAAAGCCTGAGGCAATGTGGAGATCTAGATAGCCTTGTTCAGGTAGGCTTGGAGAATGGGTAGGAGTTATTGTGATGGTTCTAAGCATATGTAAAGGACCGTGTTGGAAAGAAGAGTGAAAAAGTGTTCGGAGTGGCTGGATGATAATGGAGGAGGGAGGAGGCAAGCAGGAACATGGAGTTTCTGATAAAGGTGATACCAGAAGTGTGGTGACAGTTCACCACATTGTTCTTTTGCTCGGCGGCATTGAGTTGATTTCAACTCCTAGCACTTCCTGTGAGTAGAACCATCCCACAGAGTTTTCTAGGCTATCATTGCTAAAGGGCAGATCTCCAGTTCTCTGAACCTCCAACCATTTGGTTAGCAGATGAGTGATTGACCATTGTTCCCCCAGGAATTTTTTCTATCACATGCAATTAAAGTCTTGTACGTTAATTGTACAAGGAAAATGTTGTATATTTACTACAATTAAAAGAGAAGAAAATGATGACAGTGAATGACCTGAGTTGGACTGAGCTATATTTGCCATCAGTTATAATTTATGAGACCTGAGAAACAGAGGAGTGACTTGATCAAATTTGTGTTGTAACCATATGAATGAGCTTCAAAGATTTGTGGGAAAATGGAACTAAAGGATAGTGGACGTTTTCCACAAACTTTTTGAAGCCCCTTTTTATTGGTCCACTGGATGCCTTATGGTCAGTGGATAGAAGAGGGGGAAGGAAACAGAGGATGTCCAGGCTACCAAAAGTGGTTGCTAGGCCACAATGGTGTGGTAGAATTGGAGAGAAATGATTCAAGCTATTTTCTTGGAAGGGTGGAGAATGGATTAGGTGTGTAGGGAAAAGGGGAGAAGAAAATACCAAGGATGGATCCCAGGTTTGTGGCACAACCATTCAATAAACGGGCATGCTATTTAATGAGGCAGGGATGAAGGAATAAGAGAAAGGCAGTAAAGATTCTGTTTTGGACTTCACAATCGAGGTGCTATGTGACATACACTGATGTAGATGTTGAGGAAGTGTGTTGCTTAGGTTGCCTTTATGCTAAATTGTTTATAGTCAATAGGACCAATTGTTAAGGGAGATTTTATGTCTTTTTTTATTGTAGGTATAGTTTTAAATCATGGGCTGGAATCCCAGTTTCGCCATCTCCACCTATGTAAGGCTTACATATCACTGCATTGGTTTCTACTGTCCAAAGAATAGTATCAGATCTCCTTAGTTTCTCAACCAAGAGCCTTTATATTAAAGCCCCCACCTTATCTGGATGCCTTAACCCTTCATTTGCTCTAGCACAACATTTCACATATTTTCTGCCTTTTCTTTCCCTCGACACCCCCTCTCCTTCCATTCCTTCTCAAAATCATTTTCCTTCATGACTTTCCACTACACTTGGCACGTAGTGTTATTTCCTTTAGTGGATCATTTCTATCCCACTCAGCTGCCCCTTCCTCTGTGAAGCCCTCCAGAATCATGAGGCCCCTCCATTGGCACTCCCCGTTTCCCCCCATTGCCAGCAAAGAGAGATGCTCCCAGCCTGCACTTTGCTACTTTGCCTGCTTCGCACAAGTACAAGCCTCATTCCATTGCTTCACCCCTTCGCAAACGTTCACGATGTGCACACACACTGGAGTGGATGCAAGCCTCTGAAAAAGGGGCAGGCAAGAAGGGTTCTAAAGAGAAGAGGACGCTTTTCTCTCCTTGGTAGTTGGAACTCGCTGCTCTAAGACATTCCTCTCATTTTAAATGGCCATGCAGTTTTCCTGCAACAAGGACCATGCTTACAGATTTAACACCACAGTGTGGGATTAGATGCTGTTGCTCGGCCCCTGGTGTCCTCTGTGCATGAGCTTTTCCAGGTTTGTATACCCAGGGCACCTCTGGATTTTTTAACCAGCTGAACTCTGCCTTCCTTTCCTGACCCTCTAGGAGCTGTTACAAGAACTCAGGCACCTCAAAATCAAAGTAGAGGAGTTAGAAAATGAGCGGAATCAGTATGAATGGAAGCTGAAGGCCACTAAGGTAAGATGCAGTTCTGATGCATATTGAGAGGACATTGAGGCCCTGGCAGGAGGAGCCCAGTGTTCACACTGGGGTCGTCAGCAGCCAAAGCTTGAAAAATGAAAATGTATTATCCCACTATGTGCCCAGGCAGCAGCACTGAGCACAAAAGGGACTGCAGCAGACAGATCTAGGTACACGAAGGGTGTTTTGAGAAGAGCCTGCAGGACTCTGGGCTCGGGAAGGGTTGCAGTAGAGTCTCCTCCCACACACCACACCCGCAGTGTCTACTTGAAGCCTAGGAAGTTGTCTGAAGGAGCCAGTGAAATGAGCACGTTAGCAGCAAGTGAGCGACAGGCCCTGAGTCGGTCAACGCAGTGTTATCTAGTCCTTTTAAAAATGACTAGTGCCGCTGACCGTCCTTTTTGTTTAAGCATGTCTTACTTTCAGCAATGAATGTATTCCTAAAATAGAGTTTTAATAAATTTGTTCAATGAAATTATGCTATTGTTTTTTATTGGAAATTTGGTGTTTAAAGGAATGAAAACCACACCAAAACCATTACCACTGAGCCAATTCCAACTCATAGCAGCGCTATAGGACGGAGTAGATACATGACAGGTAGCATGATATAATAATTTAAGTACTTTTCAAACATTAATGTATCTAATCCTCATAAAATCCATGAGATCCCACTGCCATTGAGTTGATTCCAACTCATCGTCGGACCTGAGAGGACAGGGTAGAAGTGCCCCTGTGGGTTCTGAGACTATAGCTCCTTTCAGGAGTAGAAAGCCTTCTCTTTCTCTTGCAGAATGAATGGTGGTTTCGAACTGCTGAACTTGTGGTTAGCAGCCCAACTTTCAACCCACTACACCATCAGAGTTCCACTCAAGATTTAGTTCTGTTATATTCATGTTTTACAGATGGAGAAACTGAGGCATAGAGAAGTTAAACAATTTTTCTGAGATCTTACTTAGTTATCTAGTTCTCTCCCTTTTAGCTAGTCAGGCATCTCCATAGTCATCTCCATACTGGCTCATTTGTATCTGAGACCATTCTGGTATGTCTTTACCTCCTAGTCACCCAGTCTAGGAGGACTCTTTCTCATGTAGCTCCCAACCTTCACACACAGTGCTCCACTCATGCAGGTCCTATCTCGGCAAACCTTTGAAGTTGTATGTACCACTCTGTTATAAAATCAAGATGCTTTTTTTTCCCCTTTAAAATTACCTAAGCCCTTTGCCCTGGCATGTATACCTTTGAAATGCTTAGAGTTGTTTAATAACTACCAGGTGTTGAGCATCTTCTCTGCACTAGAATATACCAAGATCTTTGCTCACATTTTCTCAGTTAATCCATAAAAAATACCCAAGGAAATATATATATCTTATTATCCTCATTTTCAGTGTAAAGAAACTGAAGCTCAGTGTGGTTCAGAGTTTTAGACCTGGGTCAGTGTTGTTTGAAAACTCAAGTCCTCTTTCTTAGATCATCCTGATTCCTTGCAATAAAAACCTACGCTGATTTTTGTTGTTGTTAAGTTCCTCAGTTTCCTGCTAAAGGTTTCTATGGCTCTCACGGTGATTCATATTCCAGTTCAGCAACCCCGGGGTGTGGTCCCAGAGCTTAATGAAGCCCAGCATTTTCAGGATTCCAGAATACCCATCTCTGCATGTCAGCTCTTGGCTCACTCTGTACCCACCAGTCATGACTTTATTTCCACTGTATTTCCAGTTTGAGGTGGGACGAAGAAAAAGGCCTATCTATTGTTATGGTGGTGTGCATACATGCTATCACATAAATATCTTGGGAGAAAGAAGACCACATTCAAAAAGAAAATCCACTTCTCGATAACCCTCCTACTTTGCAGTCACAGTTCCTCCAGCTCTAGATGTGCCTGGCCTCAGGGCGCTGGGCAGGAAAAGAGCCTGGTCAGGTAGGAGGGAAGAATCAGACTGACAGTCAGCACTGCTGGCAGGGCTGGAGTAGCCAAGAAGAGTGAATGCTTTCAGCAGATCTTCACTCAGCGAGGAGGGCTGTGAGGCTTCTGGCATCGCTGCTGATTTCCAAGCTGGTCTTAGGAACCAATGGACCCAGACTCTCTAGCTGAAAGCCAGTCATCAGAGTCTGGTCAGCCCTCTGACCTGGTCCAGATTCTCTGTTGCTCTTCCAGGCTGAGGTAGCCCAGCTACAGGAGCAGGTGGCCCTGAAGGATGCAGAAATTGAGCGTCTGCACAGTCAGCTCTCCCGGACCACGACCCATAACGGCCATATGGAGAGAGGTAAACAGCTTCATTGTTCCTGAATGCAGTTGCCCCTGTCCCTTCTAACATAACTGTATGAATGTGTGTGTATAACCTTGTATCAATTGGTGTGTTGGTGTTCATGGATGTGCATATAATGAGAGGACTTAAAAAAGTTCATGGAAAAATTGTCCAGGACCTTTTGATGCCATCTCGTATGTGTATCTGTGAGTACACACATGCATGTGTGCCCTGGCATGTATGTAGGCTCATCTAAAAGTCATGGCTGTGTTGTAAAAACATTGTCATGAGACATTCCTCCAAGATTCAGTTTTGAAGATGCTCCTCACATGAGCAGTGCTTATTGAAGCTCTGTGTAACCACCGCTGAAGTTTTTACTGCGGATGTAGGAAATCCCTACCTCTTTTACTTGATTGAAAACACTTGTTTCTGTGTCTTCACCCAAGGGAGGCTTCAGCAGCTCATTCAATCATTCTACATATGTCCATCTGCTTAACACTTGTACAAGGCCTAGGGCTGTAGAAACAAACACGTTCTTTTTCATTCTCTATTTCTAAGTTTAAACCTTACCTCTCAGAAAGGGCTTTACTGTCCACCATACCTCAAATAAGTGCCACAATCTTATTTTTCTCTAACTCAATATCATTTGTATTTTCTTCATAGCCATCATTATCATTTCCAAGGTTGTATTTTGAGAGATCTCTTGTATATAAACTGTTGCCTCCACTCTGAAGGGGAGGGTATGTGTTTGTCTTGTTCAAGATTATGTATAATATTTCAATCCATGATAGACTTCCAAGAGATATTTGCTGAACAAGTGAGTGGATAGTAAATGGGCCCTGAAAAGTCCAAGTCTTGCTAATTAAAAAGAGGATAAATCCTCAAATATTTTAATTGATACATGTTTTCTATTTATGGATGTCTGCCATGTTTACAAAATGGTCATAGGTTTATGACCTACCTCCCATTCAGGCTTCAGAGCAATGCTGGGGTTGGGGTGGGAAGTCATATAGTCCTGTGAATTTGTGCCACTGCCAAGTCTCATCTCAGCCTCAGTACTGCCTAGCTTGGATCCCTGGCTTGGGTGGGGAACCATGAAACAGCAGCTTAGGCTGGAGAAGGAAATTAGCAGACAGCATGCTCATGCCTCTCCAAGCCCTTCTCAGTGTCTCCCAAGCAATTAGGTGTGTCACTACTGCCAATGCATAGTGTAGAGACTACGTCCTCTTAGGATACTCTAAACCTGCATTGCCAAACCTTGGCAGTGAGTTCCCGCTATTATGACTTCTAGAGCAGACTGCCCTCTCCTTCCACCGTATGCTTCCTTCTAGTCCACACCTTTGAGACCCTGCTTCATTTCATCTTCAGGTGCCTCCTAGACCTGGTCCTTTGGTCGCCCTCTGCTCGGGTCAAGTCTTGGGTGAAGAATCCAGCTTTGCCAGGCCCCAGCTGGAACTTACCTTCCAAACTAGGCAGACCAACTGATCCTAGATCCTGGACTACCAGGATCCTAAGAAAAAGAGCAAACTCTCTTCTTCACTCTGTAAAAGAATTGCCACACTTCTTTACACTAAGTCCACAGATCCACTACTTCTGCCCTTGTAGCCTGTGAACACGCATCCTGAAAATGGGATGCCTACTCATCTGCTCCCTTATTTCCTGTACATTTATTATAGACATATCTTTATTCTATTTACAGTTACACCAGCTTAAGAAAGGAGTTTTTGGAAAACAGCTGCCTAGTTTTGTGCCAACTTTTTTTTATACCCCAAAATAGTTGGTAGGATGACCTGCAGCTTCTCCAAGCATTAGGTTTTGTCTTGGCTCTCCAGACCAGTTTAGAAACAACCAAGAAGAAGGCCCTGTTGGATCCAGAGGAAGAAGAGTATGTGGGTTGACCACCAAGGACTGATGCCGTTCCTTTGGTCCATAAAATAGCTGTAGCTTTACAATGAAACAATTGGTTGTCCTTAGCTGTAGAGTTTGCTTTAATATAGTATTAGATGTAGTATCTAAACAATAGCTGGTCAATTTTGATTATGCCATTTTAAATTTAAAATGAAGTCAAGTACCCATTTCTTTCACGTTTCCTTTGCTGTCTATATTCAACTATAAGACCTTTTAATTGTTTTATTTATTATTTTTTAAATAACAGTTTTATTGGCATATCATTTACATATACAATTCAATAGTTCAATCATGTCAAGGACAGTTGTGCAATTATTGCCATATTTTCACCAATTTGAAATGCTTCTCTGTTAACAATTCATTGATGTATGGTTTTTCTCCAAGACCAATTCATAGCTCAGGTATATGCCTACTGAAGGTATAAAGGATACTGATGCTGCATTCCTGTGAGATGTAGGTTGTAAATGAGTTTTGGGTCCTTCCATGCTGCCTTTGACTAGATGGCATGTTTTTGTTTTTTTTTTACAAATGTTTATAAAGAGAAATCAAAGTATTAGGTTCATTCATTTAGTAGTTCAACAAATATTTAATGATGGTTCTGACAGGCACCATTCTGGGATCTTTAAAGAAATCGTGGGGACTATGTGTAATTTGTCCACATGGAAACTCCTATTGGTTGCACTTAAGGAACATCTTATTATGTTTGGAGTTGGGAGTTTATGTAAATAACATCTTATTATGTTGGGAGTTTATGTATCACTCTTGGAATTGATGTAATTAATTCTTTCTATATCTGAATTTTTTTAGACCAAGAAATTCAGCGTCTGAAAATGGGAATGGAAACTTTGCTTGTTGCAAATGAAGATAAAGTAAGATGGTCACTGAGCGGTACTGTCTTCTTCCTCTGACTTCCTGGTCCTGTTTGGTCCCTGCTGGTCTCTGATCTTCTGGACAAGCTATGCTTATTGGGCTGTTGACTCAGCAATGTGTTAGACCAGCTTCTGCCTCCTAGAGACTCTGCCTCAGCCTTGTGTTACTGGCTTTGGGACCTGGAAACTGCCTAAATGAAGTCTCCCAAAGGCAAACTAATGTCAGCCTGGCTATGGTAATGTGGTGGTGATACACTTTGGTTACTGCCAGTATCATAGCTACTGCTTAGATCCAGCCTCTTTCACACTCCTGTGCATATGATCTAGTAGTAGAACAACCAGAGAGACTCTAGGCAGCATGCAATGGCTCAGTTTACCCTGCCCTCTTAGATGCTACCTATCTCATTTCTGCACAATCATGATCATCTCCAGGTATCACAACCTTTCCTTTTACAGTTGAAGAAACAGATTCTAAGTGCTTTACTACTCTTTACCCAAGGTCAGGTAAACAAGTAAATAGCAGAGCTAGAGTTCAAACCCAAGTTTGTGTAACACCAGAACCTATATATCTCCCCCAACCCCCTAGGCCTCTGCCTTGCAATAAATGATCCCCTCTGGGAATTGCTTTAATTGTAATAGAAGCCTAGGAATAGATGAGGCTATTGGGATAAATAAATAGAACAGGCGGGACTTAGACTAGGAAGTAAATTTCCTCCTGCTCAGGAATATAGAGAGACTATATTATGTTTTCGGAAATGCTTAAATCCCTTGAGGGCTATGCCAAGGAGGGATATATTTTTTTGTCTTTAAGATAGAGATTGGCGGGGAGGAGACGAGCCAGTCAAGGTGCGATGTAGCAACAATGAAAAATACAACTTTCCTCTAGTTCCTAAATGCTTCCTTCCCCCCTCCCCACCCTCACTATCATGATCTGAATTCTACCTGGCAAGTCTGGCTAGACCGGAGTATGTACAAAGGTATAGATAGGAACTAGAAATACAGGGAACCCAGGGCAGATGATCCCTTCAGGACCAGTGGTGTGAGTGGCGATACAGGGAGTGTAGAGGGAGAGTGGGTTGGAAAGAGGGAACCGATTACAAGGATCTACATGTGACCTCCTCCCTGCGTGGACGAACAACAGAAAAGTGGGTAAAGGGAGAGGTCGGACAGGGCATGATATGACAAAATAATAATTTATAAATTATCAAGGACTAATGAGGGAGGGGGCAGCGGGGAGGGAGGGGAAAAAATGAGGACCTGATGCTGGGGTCTTAAATGGAGAGGAAATGTTTTGAGAATGATGAGGGCAATGAATGTACAAATGTGCTTTACACAATTGATGTATGTATGGATTGTGATAAGAGTTGTATGAGCGCCTAAGAAAACAATTTTTTTAAAAAGATAGAGATTGGACTCAGAGCCATCAGTAGTTGCAGACCCTATGGAAAAGGACCTGGATAGTGTGCCTCCTCCTTGAAGTGTTCCATAAAGAATGGAGTTTCCTTCTCTGTGTGCCCAGAACGTAGCTTTGACTCTAAAAGTGTGGGGCTGCTTTTCAAAGTGCTTATGTTAAAATCTGCTATTGCCCTGTGGCAGGACCGTCGGATCGAGGAGCTGCGGGGGCTATTGAACCAGTACCGGAGAGTGCAGGAGATCGTGATGGCAACTCAAGGTAAGAAAGCAAGTGGGCGCGCTACAGTTTTCTCCAAACAAAATTCCAGCTTTGTGACAGATGGCTCTGAACTCGAGAAATATTCAGTAATGATTTCCGGGAAATTTAGCAGATGACAATCAATTCAGAGTTGCCAGGAATTATCCAGATCACCAAGGAATTAAAGCTTTCAACCTTTAACCCTTAGGAGTCCCTACTTTTGGAAGGTCTCCTGCACATCTCAGGATAATCCCATAGAGGCAATGAATAGAGTTCAATCTGGAGTAAAAATCAAGCCACCTCCCCTCCAGTCAACTCGGGATATGATAGATTTCAGGAGCCTTTCTTGAGGCCCTGGGTTCCTGGGCTGCTTTACAAATTCACAGTATAGGGAGAGCTCTTTATATTTTGTATCTGCTGCCCAGAGTAAATGCAACGTTCAGGCAGTTTTGGTGTTCTTACGGATACCGCGGTGCATATGTCAGGCAGCCATCCTTATGATTCATGCCACTGACCTGAGTTTTCACCAGAGCGACTGATGAGCAGCTGACTCACAGGAGAAGGCTTCTATAATAGTAATCTGGACTCTCCCATTCCACCGGATCTTCTGGGAAGATGCCAAGTCCCAGCCGGGGCTATCGCTAGCTGGTCACCATCAAAGGCCTCTCTGCCAGCCCAAACACCCACATTGCAGTCTTGTTTTCTCAAATCTTTTGAGATCTTGGCAGAGATGTCACCAGGTCAAATCACTCTCAGAGCCTAATTGCTTGTGGCCAAGCCATGAGGAGGTTGGAGATAGCAGGTGCCTTTCCAATCTCTTAGAGAGGTATGCTTTGATCTTGAGATGACCTTGTGACAGCTCTAGCTTAGATGCCCTGAAGAATCTTTTGAACACTCTTTTTTTTTTTTGAACACTCTTATGTCCTTTTATCAACTACTTAGTTGTTTTCTACTGAAGAGGAAATAGTAGAAGGATTTTGTGGTACAGTTACAGGTTTCTGAACAAATCACACAGAGTGATCATTGCTGTGCATTAATGCTTCCAGTGCCTTCAGAAAGAACACTTACTATCAATGAAGAAGAACTGGATGGAAGTTTCAGAAAGTGGAACTCTGTAAATAAAGGACCCGAGGAATTATTTAAGCCAGAGGTACCGTGCTTCCATTCACAATACGGGGCTTCAGCAGACCCTCAGTTTGCCCTGAGCTTGAGGGAGGATCTGCTCTGGAGAATACATGTCAGGCTACTCATCTTGAGCAGGGAAGCCCTAAATCAGTGGCTCTAGAAGCCTTGGGGAGAGGACAAGGGGAACACGGCTTTAACCTTCAGGCTATGTTCTGGTTGGGACAGATAACCTGGGGGTACTGGGACACAGGAGAACAGAACATTAATCTGTGTCCTTGTATGTTTTTGTCTCCCCTCTTTGGAAGGTAAACATAGACCACAGGTGGTGTTTGTGTACTTGCCACTGTTTCTTCAAGCGGTAAATCAGTTGCCAGTGGGCCCACTCTGACTCTTTGCCAGTCCAGGGCGTGTCAGAATAGAATTGTTCTCCATGGGGTTGTCAGGAGCTGAAATATTGGAAGCAGATCGCAGCCTGTTGTTGAGTGAATGAATAAATCAGTCATGCTCATTTAGAATAATGTTAACTGTTTAATGTGACACGCCCCTCCTTCACAGACATCCCTTGCAGCCCCCATAACTAGCACGGGCATTTCCTAACGAGCACTGGCTTTCCCTTCTCTGCTCTTTTCTTCGCTTCCAAAGACCCACACTTAGTTTTGTTGTTGTTTGTTTGTTTGTTTTTAATCTGCTCCTATTGTGTGTATTTTTCTGGGCTTAGTCTAGTTAGAAATAAGCAAACAAAACCACAGATGCAGACCCCAGGTGAAGAAGTAACTTCAGCCTGGGACCTAAGATTCACAAAATTCCAGGGGAGGCACACTGGAAAGGATCTTAGCAGTTCTGGCTAACCCTTTTAATTCAGGAAGGAATGAATGTCACCCCATGATCCAGTTATCAAGTCAGAGCAAGCACAACAGATTGCTAGTAATCACATGAGTAGTAACACACTTGCTCAATGCTTCTGTGATCACTGTGTTGGGCAGGGTATATGGCTCATGGACCTTACTCCTTACAACACTCCATAAGTGCCACTCCCCAGCGCCACCCCCCCCACCCTCCCGCAAAAAAATACAACCAAGCACCCACTGCCATCTAGTCCAGGGGTCCTCAAACTTTTTAAATGGGGCCAGTTCAATTCCTATGCACACTGCACATATCTTATTTTGAAA